GAATATATATATTCATTTTCCGAAGAGTTCTAGGCAGTGGCAAGTCTCAATGTAAATATGCCTTTTATACAAAACAACTTAAATTAACGAAAATATTGTGAGAAAACGTTTAGGCAATGTTAGCCGGCATCCGTTGAAAATGGTTTAAAAATTTTTATGTATATAACATTAATATTAACAGATTTTTAATCTAAAAATCACATAATCTTAGAATACAATTGTACGTTTCAATCTGCGCAAGCGATACGTACAATTGTATTTTAAGATTATGTGATTTTAGATTAACTTATAGACAACACAAGCGCGCGCCATTTACTCTCTCTAAAAATTCGCATTGACAGCTGCAAATACCACGACTGAAGCATGTCGTATCGCACAAGCGATACAGTCAATCAGCATTTCTGAAAAGCGACAGCAATTCGAGGCTTTCGGCTATCGACTTAACACACCTTTTTTTATGTAGGAAAAGCTGTTAATACCAATGTTATATACATGAACAATTTTTACACCATTTTCAACGGGTGACGGCTCACATTGCTTAAACATTTTTTAACATTACTTTCGTTAATTTAAATAATTTATTCAGTTTTTATTTTTGTATTTTATGATAATTTTTTTAATGAATCCATGCATGTATATTAATGTTTATTATTAAAAAGAACGTTATTATTAATAGAACATTATAGTGGACGGGCGTGCCCCACCACAGGATGTTGGATCTATGCCGTGGTGGGGGACGCTTGCATCATGTGCGCGTGCGTGATCGGCGGCTCGGTCGCAGTTCCTCGAGCGGCAGTGGTGGGGCGGAGATAGCTGGCATCGTCTCGGGATCGGGAATCGGCCCGTCAACTAAGTCCCGGCACTGCGATATCTGCGCGGCACAGCATAGATTCCAGCATCTTGTGGTGGAGGACGCTTGTCCACTATATCCTGCGTCCAAAACACATGCGTCTCTGATGCGTTTATCGCTAGATGTGAAACACGAGTGTCGCACTCACTCTGTAGACTTCGTCTATATTCCTCTGTTGACGATTTGAACTGTGCCCTTGTGTTGTATTTGTCGAAATACTTTTTTGACATTGTTTGCAATTCTTATTATGCATAGTTTATCTTTTTCCTATCTATCGGAACTCTTTTTCCATATCTGTCCTGTACTTGTACGGCATTCGCTTTGTTCGATTTCGCTCGTCATCTGCGTAAATGATTTTCTCTACTATCTGCTTATTAATAAGAAAAAATTTATTTGCAAAATTTTATTTTTAATGTCGCTTGCGATTCTTTTTCTGCAAATTTAAAAATGGGACTAAAATCGACATACGATAAAATTATGTTACAACAAATTTTGTCAGATGCTAAATGTCGTGCTATTGATGATAAAGGGCGCGTTCTTCCACCTTCTGATGAAGTTTATCAGATAATTTCAAAACTGATGGCAGATAAAGGCTCGAAGATCACGCCAAAGCATATCCATACGATTGTTAATAACAATCGTAATGGTTTCAAAGATCATATATTAAAAACATTCGATATTCGAGAGCAAGAATTGACCACCTCCATAAATAATAGCGATTTTAATGTAACAGAACGTGTAGATCAGAGTACAGATACTCAGACCAGTTCTACCTCGATTGACATTAATCTTTTAATATCACCAGAAAAATGGTACGCTATCCGACCCGAAAAGAAGATATACGGTAAGCGTATATATTGGAAATTGCGAGAAGGGTGGGCAGATGTAGTTGCTGAAGCAATGTGGGTACAGCACCACCTCGATTGCGTGTTTGTTTCTAAAAATCATAATATCTACCGAAGTGCAATTGCAAAATATTTCTTCAAATTTGAAGGATTTTGCCGCGAATGTAGCGCGAAAATATGCGGTAACTTAATAAAGGAGCCGGCAAAAGACGTCGATGTTATTCTCAAATGTCACATTGATGGCATTATATCTAAAGCTCATGTTGGGAAAAAACGAAGACAATTGAGAGGTGCACGTCGTCGTCAAGTT